CAATATAAATTCTTGAACTACTATAATAAGAGGGTTCAACAAAAAGAGATACATAATGACTACTTAGTACTTAAAAAAGTTAAAGTCCGAGGTCGATGATCGAGGAAGAAAGTTGGTTTTAAACTAAAAAGAACCATATATTGTTAAAGAAGTTGCCTAATCTTGTACCTACGAATTATAAGATTTGAATGTAAATTCCATCCCGGGGATGTGAAATGTAGATAATTTAAAGATCTACTACTAATAAAGGCTACGTAGTTGAGCTAGCTTATGAATATTCAATCTACTTGTAAATCCAAAGTTTAAGATAAATAAAGCTCAAAGTTGAATAAATTCTTCTATGAATGTTCAACAAATATCCTTTATAAAATCCCCTACCCAAAGTAAGGATAAAGTTGACCTAATTGTTGATTAATTTTAAGAAAAAAATCATATGAAGCTATAATGGTTGAGTTAAAAGATTTTATTCGAGTATTGATTTGAACGGTTATATTAAATCAAATGATACCAAGCTCGAAGATGTAAAAGAGGAATGAAAACTCATAATTTAAAAAAAAAAAAGCAAAACATGAACATCAACAAATCTTAACAAATTTTTCTAAAAAGTAAGTCAGACTCTATCTTTAGGCTAAGCCTTACCAGTAGGTACTCTAGGCTTCTCGATTTGAACCTTAGGATTTTCAACATCCAGCCTTCCTTTTGGTCTGGTCCATCTTTATATTATTTTCATCATGTTGCTACTACTCCTTATCTTGGTTTATTTTCTTTATCATAACTTGTTGAGACTTCATATTATTGACGTTAATTATATAAAGGTTGAGGTCAACATATATGAAGTTTACTTTTTTAAACACTAAATTAAAAAAGTTGAACACCTATTCCAAAGCAAAGTTTATCTGTATATTGTAGACCTTAGCCAAAATAACAGATTGCTTAAGATTAGATTCTTGATAAAGAGACTTAGCTGTGATTTTCTAAATAAAGATGTTTTTGAACTACTAGACCATGCTCTCAACCTTTTTGTCAAGTTTATCATTGGTTTTTTTATACTCAGCATTAGAGATCTTAAGCTTCTTAGTGTTATCAATAATGGAATTTATGTTTTTAGTATACTTGTTCACATCTTGCTCAACTTTATAGAAGTGAGTAATGGCTTTGTAAGAGTGCACTAGGGTTTGACCTATATTTTAAGGGATAGATGGAGGGAGTTGGTCAAAATCTACAAGATAAAAAAAAATTGAACTTAGACTTTGTAAAATTTTTTAAGGTAAAAAAGGAAAGAAAAAGAATAAATCGATCTGTAACTTACCCTTATTGATGATCATTATACGTGTGATTTTTTTTACTACCTCAAGGTTATCAAAGGCACTTTCCATTACATCAAACTTAAGGGTAATGAGGTATTTGCCCAATGATGGTTAGACCTTGGGCGTAGCACCAAAAGATAAGGATTTAATCATTGGCCTCATTTTAGACTTTTTCATGGCCATTTTTATTTCACTTTCTATATTATTGCAAAACTTTTACCTTCGATTTGAGAATGTTAAAGAGTTAGGTCGATAATTTTGCTGTTATGGGATAAACCACCAAGCTAAGGAGGATCATTCTCCCTTTTTTTTCCCTTAAAAGGCTGAGTAAACCTAGTCATGTCAAAACCTAATGTCTTTTGACTAGCCATATCTTCAACTAAAAAAATTAATGTGAAAGTTAGAAGATATTTGAACTAGAAAATAGTTATAGTAAGAAGTTAATAAGAAAATTACCCTAATATCCAACCTTTTTAATGACATTAAAGGAGGTCGGTTTGGGCCTTTAAAGTTTTCATCATGTCTATAAGATTGGTGTCGAACTCATGATGTGTGTAAAAAAGAATAAAGGCATACATTTTAACGTTAGAACTTTTTACTTTTTCATCATCACTTTTACCTATTTTTCAGCTTGGTCGAACCTATCAGCTTGCCTAAATCCCTTAACCTACTTAATTCGATAAGTTTCATTACTAGTTTGTTCAGCCACTAGAGGTTGAAAAGATTCTTGAACTTATGTAAGACTAAGAACCTTTATGATGTTGGAAAAAGATGAGAACGATTAAGAAATGAAAGACTCAAAGTCAGTTAATGATCCAAAATTAGAATATGAGATCAAATCTATGATGGTTTACGCATTATGAAGAATTATTAAAGGTTTAACAATAATAAAGGTTTGGCTAAAAGATGTATTTGGAAGAAAAATTAAGAAGGAAAGGCCAAAAAAAATAAAAGAAGGTTAGGTGAAGGAGTTGAATTGACCATATTAGTTGAAACAAAAAAATTTTAAAGGTCAGAACTTATTACCGCTAAAACTCATCCATTCCATGAAGAATGCTCTCACCCCTAACTCAAGTAGTCTCTTCAAGCTATTTTTTATCCTTTGTAGACATTGTATTCAACCAGTAGGTAGTTTGGCTATAGTTTCTTATTGTAATAATAAAAGAGATCTCATCATCTAAAAGAACATTTACCTTACCCTGGTCGAGCTAACCCTCTTTAGCTTATACCTTAAAGTTAGATAAATCTGAACTAGAAGACATATTAAAAGTTGGAAAAAGTATCAAGGTAATCAAAGGGGATGAAAAAGTTTGAACAAAAAAAAGCTGAAAAAGTTAGTAAGATTAGTGAAAGAATAGGATGGCACGAGAGCAGGAAAGCAAAGAAAATGTTAAAAGTATAAGGAAATGAAAGTCTTAGGCATGTTTTATATAGGTAAAGCTAATACTGACTGAGCAGTCTAAATTGTGCCACGTGATAGTACACAAATTGAGGTTGACCTTTTAGCTTTTCTATTTAAATTCAAAGAATTACCCAAAATTTAAAATCTCGTATAAATTTATCTCTTTTTAATAGATGTAGATTGAGATAAATTAGCAGCCAATCTATACAAGAAACAAGTGCATGTCAGCCACACTACACAAACAACAAAAATGAGAGCTTTAGGTCGAAAAACCAAAGCCATTTAAACATACAAACTTTGAAAAGCCATGTTGGACCTCCCATGAAAATTATCTCCTCATCATTGCATTTCAAAAATTTTACTAAATCTATGCTCAACTCTTGGCTCGACTCAATGTTAACAGATCAATCGGATTAGCCTTTCAGTCATTTGACACCTTAGGTTATTTAATGAAGGGACAAACTATTAGGGTCATTTTATGGTCATAAAGGCATTATGAATTTTTTTTCTTAGAAGATGGGTCATTAACATAGTAAGGGTAATGTGATGTGGTGAGCCAACCTAAAATTTAAGGATCCACACTAGTTTGGCTAGTTTGACCTACCACCTAAAAGTACATGGACATGCTGACTTGTTATCCTTCAATTGGACATCCACTTGCTAGGTTAGATCAAGCTAGCATTGTTAGTTATAAGCTTAACTTTCAGAGCTTAGGCTACTAAATCTTGGCATTCTTACTCTATAAGTATAAATTGCCTCAATCACACCAAATATGGCCATTCATTCTTTATCTCTCTCTCTCTTAGATTTCTCTTTTTCTTTATTTTTTCATAGCAATAACTTGAGCGTTGGAGCACAAATATAAAAAAAACTCTAGGTTTACTTCTAACTTACCTTTAACCTTGTGATTTCAGGTTCTTGGTCTCATTGGATAGCTTGCACCAATAATAGTACTTTAGGACACACTCCAATACTTAAGTTAATTAAATGTATGAGGAGAAGGAATAAAGTAAGAAATGGACAACAACGTAAAAAAAATAAAGTGGGTGACGAAAATAGTTGCATATTTGATTTAATTATGGGTTAATATCATAAATAACCTCTAAATTATAGTAAAATATTTAATGTAATAACTGAAATTTAACAATGTTAACTAGTATGATACTTACCTTTAAGGTGGCTAGTTTCAAATGATAATACATGGATGACAAATAATTTTTTAAGTATTATATTATTTAACAAATTCATAGTTATAGAATTATATTAGAGATTTTTAAAGTTTAGATAGCACATTGGACATTTTACTATAATTTAGGGACCATTCATGACATTAAACATTTGATTATCTTTTTTATATTTTATGGATAATGGTGATATAGATAACTTGATAGGTGGAAAATGTTTGCTTTGAAGTTATGTGTAGATGTTAATAATCTTACTATTGAAAAACTGATGATGTGACCACTAAAATATAACAAAATGAATGGTGCATCTCAAACAAAGAATGACTTCACCAATTAAATTAAGATAAATTATTTGATAAACTATTAGTGAAATTTTTTAACTTTATAATCGAGATTAATAAGATAACACATGTCATATTTTTTAAAATTAAAATTAAAATTTATTTTAATATACATTAAGAGATATGTATTATCTTGTTAACTCTATTTGTGAAATTAAAAGACTCCAATATTAATGTATTTAATAATTTCTTTTAAATTAAATTAATTTTTTTAAAAATGTTTAAGGAATATTAATACGGGGTTAACCCTAAAAAAAAAAAAAAATTATCCCAGGACTAGGCCCAAGCTTTCAAAATGGCCAACACTTCCCTACTTAGGGGGGATAACGATTTTAATCCAAATCTAATTTTGTTCGAATTTTTTGAATATAATATAATATTATAAAAATTTAAAATTTAATTCGAATCCAAATACGAATTTTCATTCAATCCAAACTAAATCAAATCAAATTTATTGATTTGGTTAGTTGGATTTATTGATTTTTAATTCTTAATTTTTAATTTTTATATATTATTTTAATATAAATTTTAATATATTTAAATAAATTTTGATATAAAATTATTATTTTTATTTTATAAAAATTTAAAATATATATATCATTAAAAATATATATATAATTCAATTCAATTAAATTTTTTTTAATTTTTCACCTATTAATTTAAAATTTAATCTAAACATAATATATATTTAATATCTAAATTTATTTTAAATCGAATAAAAAATTAAATCCAAATCGATTACTACCATCTCATATCTATTTTTGAATTTTTCAATAATTTTTTACCCTTACCCCCCACCAGCTCTCCCGCACCAAAAACAAGGCGAAAAAAAAAATAATAGAATAAAACAGGCTGTGTGTTTGTGTGACTTCCCCAAAATTCCGTCTCGCACCATACATACACATGGAAAGAGCACCAACTCCAGCAACAAAGAGGCAAGTACTGTTCTTTTCTCTCCGTCAACTCTCCCTCCATCCCTCCTTTAATATCATTCTCAGGTAAGCCACTACCCCCTTTCTTTCTTCTCTTTTTTCGACTTCCTCTCCGAAACCCTAAATTTTTTCCTCATTTCTTCATTTTTCATTACTAAATCTCAATTCATTCTGAAATAATTCTGAAAATTTCAGCTCAAAATAAAAAGATTTCTTTAAATGTAAATTTGAAAACTAAAATTACTTTAACAATCTTAATATTCCTTACATTTAAAAGAAATAAACGTTTATATTAATTTAATTTTGTATCAGCCCTTGCTTCAAGCTTAGACGAACCCTACCAACTGACGCCTGTAATCTTTAACTTTTATCTTCAACAGGTAGCTTATTTTGTTCTCTGCATTGGTTTTAGTTTTGTAGCTGGGAATATTTTACTCATTTTCTTTGGAGAATTTTGCTTAGCGTAAGCCCTGCTTGAATTTTTTTTTTGAGGAAATTTTTGCCTTGAAATGGATGGGAGGAAGAGGAATTTTTTTAAGAAACAGATGAACACGCCCTTTAAAAGAAAAGGGGTCAATAATAATAGGAAACCGAAATGGGTTACTAATTCTGGCCATGAACAGTCTTCCGGGAATTCTAATCCTGGAGACACTGTTTATCGTGTACTTTGTCCTTCCAGAAAAATTGGTGGTGTCATTGGGAAGGGTGGGAATATAGTAAAAGCATTAAGGGAGGAGACCCAGGCTAAGATTACGGTTAGTGATTCAGTTCTTGGTTGCGATGAGAGAGTTATTATTATTTTTAGTTCACCCATGAAGGTGAAAAAACATAATTTTGATGAGGATTCGGGTGCTGAGAATGAAAAAGAGGTGGTGCTAGAGATGGAGCCTTGCTGTGCTGCACAGGATGCTCTGTTGAAAGTTCATGATAGGATTGTTGAGGAAGATCTTTTTGGTGGGATGGCATCGGATGATGATAATGGGAATACTGTTGTCACTGCACGGCTTCTTGTTCCGAATAATATGGTAGGATGCCTCTTAGGGAGACGGGGTGATGTGATTCAAGGGTTGCGAAGTGGCACAGGTGCTAGTATCCGTGTTCTTCCGGCTGATCATCTTCCTGCTTGTGCAATGGCAACTGATGAATTAGTGCAGGTATCTACTAACTTATACGCTGTATGCATTTTTTGTTTTTTGTATGTGTTTGACTAAGAAATCAACATGCCAAAGTGTTGAACGTCTCTTGTATGCATCTTTTGTGTAATGTGTTTGAATTTCCTTTTTCTTAGAAGAACTCTTGACAATATATTTGAACTTCAATGCCGATTGAGTTCATACCATGCTTGGATGCCACTTGTCATTTTCTTCTTTCTATTGCCCTTCCTCTGATTTTATGTTATTTGTTTTTATGAAAGTTTTAATTGTTTTTCTTAATCTTGGTAAGATCCTCCATTCTTGGTCTGTGTGTGTGCAAAATGGTGAATATCATAACTTTTCCCAAGTTCATCTTCCAGTCTTATTGTTTAAATTCATCTCTCAGAATTGATTCTTTCTTTTAAATACTTAAAACCATGAATAAGATGCAGTCTATCTTCAACAAAAATTATTATTTTTTATTTGTTAATAAATTTAGCTTACATATGATTTGTAGGCTGCTCCTTTTTCTCACTTCTAGCTATTTGTTTGATATGATTGGTTCGCTGAATATTATTTTCCTTGCACTACATTTAAGTGTGGAAAAATGATTATATAGCTTACTTTATTTGGATTGGGATTAAGGTTTAGTTGAGTGGAGTAGTTATAGTCATCATCAATCCCATTAAGTTCTTCCAGTGAATTAAAGGAAAATATGATTCGTATCAAAAAAGTAGAGATAAATATGATTTATTTCCTCCTTTTTCTCACCTTTTCACAATCATTACCAATAAAGGTTCGTAGTGAGAACCTGTTACTGCTTAAATGTTATGCAAATACTAATTGAGGTTCTAATTTAGAAGTTAAAGTATTACTACCTATATCTTGATGCTTCAATGCTCTGAAATTGATGTTTGGACTGCTAACTTGGAGTTAAATGAAGTGCTATCTTTGAGCAGTTTGGCCTTAGCATTTATTTTTTGGCCCATCTCCATTTCATGGAGCGAGGATGGCCTATAATGTATAAATATTCTGAAAGTGTGACTGAGACAGTAGAAGTTTGAGGATGATATTTGACAACAATGTTTCTCCAGAGGATTGTTTATAGGGGTACAGAGTTATATACATTGTATGTGTTAATAGTGTGGGTTGCATAAACTGGCATGTGGGCACGGGTTATGTCTCATTATCGTGTTAATTTAAACGTCCTTTATATCTTACACAAGTCAATTTCACATGAGGTAGGACTTTTCTTTGAAGGAATGACATCACTTGATTAGCCTTATGCTTGACCAAGTGAGAAGGCTATTGCCACCCCCACTATTATGATAAGGGGGCTTTTACAAATTTTACTTCATTTTTGGCCTTTTTGCAGGAGAGATCATTGCTCAATTGTTGTGACAATGTAGGCATAGCCTACATGCTATGACCTAGTTGCCCGAACATGATGACTAATTGGTTGTTAGACTTTTGCATCATTTGACTAGAAATAATTGATTAGTTAGCTGCATATATGGTCAAAAGACCTATTGACCTTTCTGTTCCACCAAGCCTCATGTCTTCCCCTTCTGTTGGTAGCAGGACAAATACTTGCTGGTGGTTTGGCTTACAATAATGAGTGGTTTCCACCTATCTAGGTTTGGGCTTGGGGCTTGCAGAAGCAAGTCATGCAAAAATGAACTATTAGCTCCATTTGGAACTTGATAAAGATATTTTTTTGGTCGAATAATGATAGTGCCAATGGTCTTTAGCTAAGTAAATTTTGGTGCTGCTCCATATTTTGGTTTGCATGTTTTCTTTCTAAAATTATTTTTCCCCTTACACTTCTGTCAGTAAAGTGGAGCTTGGACTTGTCAAGCCCAGCAGATCCCTTTGATGTGTGTTTAAAGCAAATTCATATGTTTTAAGATTTTGTGGTTTGTAAAGGAGGGTTGAATGGCTAGAATCTGATAATTTCTTGATGAGTGGTTTCATTGTCTCCTCTACTGCTAGCAGAGATTGTTGATGGCAAGAAATTATGGCTATAAATGTTTCTTGCTTCCATCTGTTCAAGCTTGTACTTTGGATAATTATCATATATAGGATAGGGTAATGGATGTGTATCTTCAATTTATGACTTTCTTAATCTTATCAGATGGCCAAGGACCAATTACTTTGCATTGGATCTCAAGCATTTATGTACATGTCAATGTAGATAATATTGAATTGCATAGGATCATTGGTTGGTTCGTAGGAATAGTGTTGGATTAATTTAGGTTGTGATATCTGATTTGGAGGATTTTTCATGATGTGAGGTGATGTGATGGTATTTCTAGTTGAACATAACAAATTTCCTTAGTGTGCAATGCCAGATGGTGATGTGGGGTGGGAGACCTTTAGCTTTGATATATTTTCTTTATGATGCTTCAAAGCTTGATGTATTTCTCACTTGAATTCTTCCTTGTGAATCCGTATAGAGGGTGGAGGTTTACTTGTTCATACCAGCTGTTCTTGGCTAAGCTTGGTTTCCAAGCGGCTGATCAGATTGCTGGCCATTGCTTGTCTTAAAGATGTGTCATGCCATTTTATCTGCAGGGTGAATGGATCTGTATGAGCAAATTTTGTGTTTAGTAAGTAAGAATTTTCTGGGGTCAAATTTGTTTTTCTAAGATATATTCTGTCTATGCCAAATTGGAATGAACTTGAAGCTTGCATTCTTTTGGTTAAGTGGCAGAAGAAGCGAAGGATGAGAGGTGGGTGTAGTGATGTTGCTTTTTTACGTTGTCATATTGGCCTAGGAAAGTAACAAAGTGACTGACATACTACAGATGAGCTACATTTTGAATGATATTTTTATTTTGGTCCACTTCTTTACCTTTCTGTCTATGCCTTTTACATTTATCTGACATGCATATAAATTTTGGAGGCCTGCCTTATGTATTTTTGAGTTTTATTTGACTAGGAAGGTTTTAGATGTAGTTTTGTTAGCCTTTACATCTGATTGTCAAATAGTTGAAGTGGTTTTCTGAATCTCTTTCTCCTGTCACATGATTGAGTTGCGAAAACTTCTGGATAGATATCCTACATCTGAACTGAATTCTTTCTGGTTAAACAATCTCTTTTTAGTTGCTTTGGAACAATTAGTAGATTCTCTAGAAAAAATACAGGGTTTTGCTTTTGGTGGCAACATGCTATGGGGTGTACGTCCATCAATTTTCAGTGCTATGATGTAATGAAATCCTTGTCCTGCGTTTCAATGAACTTATTATTTCTCATTTCTTGTATATTTTCCTAGTTGCTGGGCAGAAAGTCTATAGTTTTTACAGGATTATAAAGTATCCTTCACAATTCATGGTTTGACTTTTGAAAAACTGTTGTCAGATGATTGTTTCTTACAAATTTGTATTTTCTTGCAATTCCGTACAAACTGTAGTTTTTGGTTGCTGCAGATATCAGGAAAGCAAGATGTTGCAAAGAGGGCTCTCTATGAAGTTTCCACACTCTTGCATCAGAATCCACGAAAAGACAACCCTCCTTTGAGCTTCCCTGTGCCTCATGCTGGCCAGAATTTTCCTCCGAATGCTGTTCCACTCAACAATTCAATGCGGTCTCAGCGGAATTCTTCTCCCCGTGATATTCAACCAATGCCATGGATGGGCCACCATGGAAACCGGCCATCTGGATTTGTGCCAGGTAGCTTCAGCAGCATTCCTCCAGCACGTGGTGCTGAAGCTTCAGCTGAATTTTCGATGAAAATTTTGTGCCTAGCTGGAAAGATTGGTGGTGTAATTGGCAAGGGTGGCTTTAATGTTAAACAGTTACAGCAGGAAACAGGAGCAGGCATTCATGTTGAGGATGCATCAACGGAGTCCGATGAGCGTGTGATTCGTGTCTCAGCAATTGAGGTCTTTCCTAGAAAATAGCTTCATTCCTTTGAGAAAAATTATTTTAACCCTTTTTAGCCTTTTGAATATCAACTCTTTGCTGCTTCCCAAATTTCATACTGTTTTATACTTAATAAGTGCTTATGCTAGTGCATATCTTATTCTAGGCTCTTTGGAACCCTCGATCACAAACAATAGATGCCATTCTACAGCTTCAGAATAAAACTAGTGAATTGTCTGAGAAAGGTACAATTACTACTAGGTTGCTTGTTCCATCAAGTAAGGTTGGCTGCATTCTTGGGCAAGGAGGTCATGTAATCAATGAGATGAGGAGGAGAACCCAGGCAGATATTCGTGTTTACTCGAAGGATGATAAGCCTAAGTGTGCATCTGATGATGAAGAGCTAGTACAGGTAATCTTGTTAAAGATATATTTATCACTAAGGGTATTTATGTATTGTTCTTTTGTTCATTTCCCTAAGGCCTGATATTTTCAATATTTCAGCTTTGGGTTTATGTAAACTAATTCATATTTTCGATTAAGATATCTGGCAATTTTGGCGTTGCTAAGGATGCTTTGGCCGAGATTGCTTCGAGACTTAGAGTAAGAACTTTGCGAGATGTGAATGCTGGAGCAGAACCTGCTTCTGTTGGGCCTGTCCATGGATTTGGTCCTGCAAGGAGCATGCCGGGTGGTCTACCACCAGTTGCTGCAATAGGACCTGGCCGCTCTAGTGGAAATGAACCTTTCAGGGTATATTTCCTTATCTAGTTTATGTGCTCTTGTTTTGCTTTAGTTTCTTTAATACTTTATCCATCCTAAAGTTCAAACTATAATTATGCAGTTAACCGTTTTTGGTGATTGGAATTGTTGACAAGGTTTGGATTGGGTCATTTTGAGTCAATTAATATTTGGGTCATTTTGGGTTTAGGTCATTTTACGTTTGGTAATTTAAAATTGTAAGATGTTTAGGTTTGGGTCATTGCCTTTTTAGAATCAATTTAGGTTGCGTTGAGCTCTAGTCTCTTCTGATAATAAATTTTATTATATTAATTATTTTTTTTCAAATTGACAGTTCAAATGAGAAAATAATAAAAGTTATGCTCAATCTATGTTTGAGATTTGGATTGATTGCAAGCCATTTTAGTTCAAGTTATTATGATTCAAGTCATTTTGAGTTTAGGTTGTTCACTGTATAGAATCTTTTGCATTGGGTTGTAGGGGTCATTCAGTCAGCATAGCTTTTATCGACTTAGCTTTCACTGTTTATAACAAATGTTGTGGTAATCCAGATAAAGTACTTTGTTTACTCTATCTGTATGGATTTTGTGATTGTATTTGTCAATAAATTATGAACTTGTTGTAATGGATGTATAAATTATTGCTATCTATGTCATATACATAGTATATATATTTGAAGTTAGAAAAGTTATGTTTGTAAATTGTGTTTAGAATACAAGCATTCGTAAATTTCTGGGACAATGATATCACAAAATGATTTAATTGTCACTAATTTCCTTAACACGATGTTTGGTAGGAAAGAAAATTGAGGGAGGGAAATAGGTGACGAAACCAAAAGGGAAGTTGAGGAAGGGAAGTTATCTTTCCTTGTTTGTGTTTGGTACGAAGGATGGAAAATAGAGGGAAAGAAAGCTGCTAGGGGTAAAGTTGTAAATAAAATTGTTAATTTAAGTTGAATGAATGTTTTTCTCCCACATTTGGAAGGATAGGATAGGAGGGAAAGGAAAGGTGTAAATCTACGTACTTCCCTTCCCCCTTCCCATTTTCCTCCTACCAAACGAAGGGAACGGTGGAAAGAAACTAGTCCTTCCACCCTCTTTCTCTCCTACCAAACAGTGTTAAGGTACTCTTTTAGAAAGGAAAAGGAGAATTGTAGTTTGATCTAAAAAAAACTTAAAAATTTTACTTAGTGAAAGTTGCTTTAGAATTTATTTTTTTATGTTAGTAACTTTTTTGAGGTTTTTCTTGGGTTGGAGGGGGGTTGGGGAAGAAGAGCTTAAGAGGGAAGCAGGAACTAGCAGCCATGGTTTGTGGTCTATCCTGGTTATTAGGGCAATTTAGTTATGATAGCTGATAGTGTGTATTAGGAAACAGTTATCAATCATGGTCAATAGCGATGTCACAATGGCAGGCACTGTTGGTGGTTGCCGACCTTTCTACTGGTTGCTGACATTGGTATATGATGGCAAATAACCAGCGGTTGTTGATTAGCGTACAACAAAGGCAATCAACTCGTTTCAGGAAATGTGTGTGAAAATGTAGCAACTTTTGGAGTTTGAGCATGAATTTCAATTGGTTTACTTGAAAATTTTCCCTTTTCTTGCATCTGTGGGCACACAAATGTTCCCCAGCAAGTTTCTCTGAAAATTGTATAGAGTACTGAAAGTAAATTTTAGATCATGATTTTTGTTGGTTAATTTAGTTTGATTCAGTGGATGATCCAAACATTTAACTCTATGGCTAGCAGTTTAAAACCATGTATATAGCGAACATATATTTTTATGTATACTTGGAACCATATTTTATTGTATTTATTGATACCCTTTCATAGGTTTTATAGGTTTCTTTAATACATTTAATTGATTTCTAATATTTCTTGGGGTTGGTCCGTCCAATGAGTACTAGATCTAGTTAATAATCTATTATAGGTCAGGTTCATATTTATTTAAAATTTAAAAGCTCATGAAAAGACTATTTTCTTTCGGTACCATGCTGAGTATGTAGTTTTGTCTGGAGAAATAGTTTTTTCTGGTTGCACATTTTCATTCTTTGGATTTTCAAGGTGTCTTATTATTTGGTTAAATAGCTAAAATATTCTTTATGCTATTCTGAAGGGTGGTGGACGTGAATATGAACCTCAGAATTATTCTGTTCCTCCAGCTGCTTCTAGGTACTGGTGTAATTGAAACTTTCTTGGTGTAATTCTCATGTTTAACTTAATGGATTCAGTTTGTTGCATTCTGTTTTTGCAGATACTCAAATATGAACAGTGCTTTAGAGGCTAAAGTTTCTAAAAATGTGTCAACTTCTGTAATAGGCATCGGAGGAAGCACTATTTTCAATGGTAGTGAGGTATTTGATCCTGAAGGTTTTTGGTGGACCATAACCTAGAACATGATATAGTTCGAAGATTTCACCTAAAACAATGAGCAAATTAAAGATCTGGCATGGCTTAATGATTAGTGGTGTTTGTGTTTCTGTTGGAATGGTAGTACAATATTGTTTTAAAATGGTCTCTCTTTAAATGTTTAATAATAGGAACATGTAGGAAATCCTTCATTTCTCGTGGTGGAAAGTGTAGCATCCCACCTATCATTTATCTTCCACTGCTTTCAGATATCTATATAACAAATTAAAATTAAATGTAGACTTGGGTGTTGCAATGGTTATTATTGAATGAAAAAATTTATATTAGTTAGTATGTTGTATATTGGTGGAGTATATGTTTTTAGGTTAAGCACAATGGAAAAAGAAAGGGATAGGACTGCTAATATATTTATATATATATATATATATATTTATCTTTATATATTTTTTTTATCAAGTGTAGGCTTCAGGTGCAAGAGTAAAGCTTGATGATCCTCTAACCGGTGGCTCTGAAGAGTTCTGTGGATCTTCTGAGCGTCTATCTGCCACTCAAAGCAATTTTCACTCATTCATGGCTTCTTCTGGACAAAGCATGCTTGCACAACCAAGGTCATATCAGAATTCAAACATTCAGCAAAGTTCATATCAGAACATGAATACTCAATATAGCCCCTACCAAAATGTGAATGCTCCACAGAGCCCCTATCAAAACAGGCATGCTCATCAAAGCCCTTATCATAATTTGAGTGTGCAGCAAAGTCCCTATCCGCTTAATGTTCAGCAAGGGGCCTATGCCAACTTCAATGCTCCACAAAGTGCTTACCACAATTACAGTGCACAGCAAGGCGCCTACCAGTATTAACTTCAATAGGGGCATTTTTGTACTATATTTTACCTTCTGTGTTTTTATTTGTCATAGGTATCAACATATTAGAGATTACATAAGTTATCACGTTACTGGATGCTTTTGATTTAATTATTAAGTAAAGGACAGTTTTTTACTATTGTTGAAGTTGTAAACTTATATCCTTTCTTGCTGTATCTGGACTTTCGTATAGACAAATTAGATGTTGATTGTTTGACAACTGAATTGGTAAACCAGCTTAGAAAAAGGATATGCTGTTGATCCTTTGTAATGGATGGTATTTTTGACTGTAGTCGATTTGTTTATGTAATTCTTTGTGCTCAGTCTTATCTTTGCTAATTTTCATACTTTTCATATATGTTCGTTTGACAGCATTAATTGAGTGGTGTGGATTGGGGTGGAAACACAAGCTGCAACGCTCTCTCATGGTAGAGTGGTGAGCTAGAGCTAGAGCTATGTTTTGCACGGGAGAGCCTTGCTTCCTTGTTGAAGGAGCTGGGTTGCACTCAATCTTCTCACATGGACTCAGGTTGGCTACTAAACCTCTTTGTAGCTTAAAAGCAGATTAGGGATCAAATAAAGTAATTTGTAAAGTTCATGTAAAACTATGTAAGATTAAAGATTCGTAGGTGGTTTTTTTCTCATAAGGTCATTAGCTTTCTATCCCTAATTTTCCTGAAAAGAAATCTTCTTTCGATTTTGTCAACTTATACGTTTTACTTTAATTGTTCTATCCAATTGAACCATGTATAGGATTCCGTTTTGGTTGATGCTTTGGTTTTTTTTGCTTTTTGCTCTTTGTCCTTGTTTTTAGTTTTTTTTTTTTAATTTTTGTTTTCACTTTGTATTGAAAAGAGAAAAAAAACAAAAGTGCGAACCAAATAGGGCCTTATTTAATCTTATGTAGTCCAAGGCGTAGATGGATTAACAGTTTTAGTGTTGGGCTCATTTTGAGGTTATTGGAGTATCATTATTATTTTGATCAATTAGTTAGATCTCTTTTCAGTTCATTCATGTTAATAAGATAGTGATATTTGTTATCCTATTTGTTTAATTCTGTGCACTCAGAATTGGCATTACATTTGTCAGTGTGTGAAATATCAAAAGCTTAATTAATGGTCAATTCCTATTAAACGTGACATAGCATGTTAATCGCACTTGGAGAAAACATGGGTTGACCTTAAATTTTGTTGCCTGCCTTCCACTGGGTACAGGGAAGTACAATTATCCTTACATCTATAAGCCTAAGTCCATTTCAATGCAACAAAAAAATGGATAAGCCTAGCAAACACCTAAAACCCATGATGAAAAAACAGGAGTTTCCTTGTAGATTGTCTTTCTATCCTCAAGTAGGAAAGTGCTTCTCCCACTTTGCAACTTGTATGAGCAGTTTGTGGTAGATCGTTGGTGACAATTTTTTCGTCTTGTCATTCCAAATCTAGATCTCATGTTCCCTTCGAGCTACGGTGACAAATTTGCTAATCGTATATATCATTTTTGTCACATTTTTATTTGTTGGGTTCATTTTTGGTACATTTGTGGTACATTTGTAGACTTGTTGCCCGTAAATCCAACTCTTCATTCTTAAGATTTGGATTTCAAGACCCGTAGCTTAGAACGTCAAACCTAAACGCCAGAGCGTCTTTTTTAGAACAATTTTTTTTTTTAGTCTATTTGATAGTATAAAAACTAAACATATACAAGTTAAAGAGTAATGATTTTTTATGCATTCTTTGGTGCATACAGCTTGTCATTTCAATTAAATATGCAAGGGTCTTGGATTTGTTACAGGAAGCATCACCATCCCATGTTGTCTGAAGTGCACTAGAAAATCAGTAAGTGCCCACGCAACCACATTTCATGCCATTAAATTTGTCTTGTTGCCTTAGAAAAGGGCAAAGCATTTGTTCTAAACTTTCTTCTATCAGGTGAACTCTGTGTAGTTGTGTTGGATTGCACTTCATCAAATTCAAACTTCAGATGCCTGTTTACTGTAATTAACCGGGCTGGTGATTCTTGGACCAGCATTTCACTCAAATGATTCTGATTCTAGTTATGGGTAAATTCTGAAACCCCTAACTTTGGGCTCTTAGTTGCATGCTTAATTTGGTATTTTCTCCAATGTTCTTAGTTGCATGCTTGATGAAAACATACGAGGCTTAAAAGGCAAATGCAAAACCTTAATGAGTCTGCTCTTGAGGGCTCGAAGGGTATTTTATAGCAGTTTTAGGGCATTCGATAACATTAATGTTTTTTTTAATTTTCTCTTCATGCAACTGTGATGATTTTCAATATATTCAAGAGAGTTTAAAGTCAAATCCTTGAATGGTTAAGCCATCGGAGGGAAAAATCTTTGGGAAGAAACATTCTCATTGCTCATATTTCATACCTATCAATTGATAAAATAAAACAACTACGTTATCTATCGGTAAAATTTTGACAATCTTCAAACAAAAAAAATAGTACAAAAATTCAATTTTCTGATAATCTTTAAATAAAAATTTTGATTATCAAATTCCTAAAATGGGGGATATTCTACAATATTGGAGAGGAACCATGTCATGTGGAATCAATTGTATTTTGATGACGAATACATTTGCAATAATTATAATATAATTAATTATTATAATTTAAAATTATATGAGATTTATTAAAATTTTATATGAAGTTTATACTTATAAATGGTAAATTTGTATATAATTTTTTATTATGATTGAATAATTATAAAATTATAATAAAAATAATTGTAAGTAATATTGTTTTCAAATTTTGCAGTACCCTTCAATTGGTATTCCTATATATTAATTAAACAAACTCCGAAGTCGTTTTCTTGAAAGTGGGAAATAGGCTACTAGGAATAGATATGGGATTTTGCTTGCTATTAAAAAAGATCATATCCCAGCCATTGAATTGTTTGGTTTAATAGTAGTGTTCCGTACTTGCCAAAGTTCGGGGTTTGAGCTATGCCATGGATGCTTGATGGGGCATGTGGTTTTAGTGGCAAACACTTGTGTCCATTGTTTGATTTAGGGTTTGATAAAATCTCCTTGCAACATTTGATAATAATGTTGGCAGCAATTAATGGTGGCGAGTCTGAGTTTGATAGTGAGTGTACATGGATATCAAAAAATTGAAAAACAAAAAAAATTTATGAAACATTTTTTTGGATTCTCTTGAATTGTTTTTTAAATTCATTTCAAATTAATAAAACTGTTGATAATTTGTATGGCAGTCACCACGTGCTCGAAGTAGAAGAAAAATCAAGGGTTGTTTCTCATTCCAACAGGATTACGAGGTCACATTCACCACGTTTCTCCATTTTCTTTGTAACAGTCATTTCTTCATTCTGTTTTATCTTGTCTTGTCAATGGAACATAGAATCAAAGCATAAGCAACATATTGGCTTTTCAATTTCAATTTTGGCTATAATTATACTAAAATGGTTGAATGTAGTGGGGGCTATACAAGTCAACTTTGTTGCCATGGAAAATCTTTCTTCAAATCAACAACAAATGCCGGATGTCTTTCTTGAGAAAATCACTTCAATGTTTCTACTGTCAAGCACTTACTTTATCTTCAATGGAACAAGTGCTTAAAGCTTAATGCAAAAGTCAAATCTAGGGGTGAACCCACACGTAATATTAAAGTGTTCAAAAATAAAATTTTTTTTTCTTGAATAGTTCCAAAATTTTTCATTGGACAGTTATTTATTTTGACAATAAAATTGAAAGTTTATATATATATATATATTATAAATGGACATCCTCTAAAAAAAGCTAAAGACTAAAATATGTCATTGAATTATAATTTAATAATCATTTAAGTTCTTAATATTTTATTATAACCAATCAAGTTTGTAATATTTTATTTTTACTCAATTAAACCAATCAAGTTCTTAAATAAATACAAATAAATATTAAATGCATTGATGGATTGTAATAAAAAAAATTAGATGATTTTTAATTATAATTTAAGAACTTTTTTATATTTTTTAGTCAAAAAGTTTTAGATCCACCACTGATATATCCTGTTTTTTTTGTCATTCTTCTAGTCAAAACACTAATTAACCATGATCCACGAGGCCAACTTATTGAAAATCTTGTTATATTCTTCTTGTCATTGATAGCAGGTGGGCTCTTTGGAGGTGGTTGGTAGGTGGAATGGGGATTTCATCAATCTATAATGCTTCTTTTTCCCATATATATATATATATTTATTTATTTATGTATAGTTGTGGTTAGATTTGCTTAGCCTCGTATCACGATAGATTGAATTTGTAAATATGTTTGAAACAATTAAAGGTTTAACCTAATTGCAGTGATCCCTCTTTAAAAATGATGAAGTATAACATTTGAGTTTTTGCAGTAGATCCAAACAATTATGGCCATGATTTTGGATTCACTGATTTTTTTTTAATTAAAAAATTGTAAGATTATAAGTGTTAGATTCGAATATTAAATCTATTAAATTTTATATTTTAAATGATTACATCAACTTATTTGAACATATTATCATACCATAAATGTAAAACTTATTAGGGTTTTATTCAAAATTATTAACTAATTTCAATGCATGCATCAAACCCAAAACAGAAACAATTGGTTGTTTATGCTTAAATCTTTAATTAGGCTCCCATCATCCACTTAAAGTAAGTCAAATGCATTACAAATGTTTCCAAAAGAAATTTGTATACTTGAACGATTGATGATCATTTTCATATATAAAAGGATAAAATGTCGGTAAAACCCTCATTATCAATCAAATCTTCTAATGTCACGTTGAAACTATACAAATTGCTGTGAGAGGTCATCACACACTCAGCCGCCTCATCTATTGCTCAATTCAACTTAAGACAAAAAAGCTTAAAAAATGCATTTTCCCTACATTTTTTTCAATTTTATTAACCAAAAAAAAAAAAACCATTTAAGGATAGAGTTGACAAAGTTTATCAGTAACAGATTTTATACTGTCAAAATAAGGTTGTCCTTTCTGAACAATATTGCAATAAGTCAAATGCTTAATTCGTGCATGAAAAAAAAAAAAAAAAAAAAACAAGGGTACCTGCCTTTTCTTGAAAAAATATGCCAAATTTTTTATTTTTTATTTTTTATTTATGGGATAGTAAATAGATCCTCAAGCTTTACTAAAAGAAGAAAATGAATCTTCAGCTCTTTATTGCATAGAGTTAAAGTTATGTAACTTTTATTTTATATTATAATTATAATCTCGATATTATAATATATTAGATTTTTCGTTAAAATTTTCTTGGTTGTTGATGTAATTTATAAAAAATACCTCATAAATTTATAAATTAAAATAAAATTTGATATCTGAATTATTTTAAAATTTGATATTTAATAAATAAAAATTCACAATCTAGTATTTGAACTCAGCTTGGTCCGACACTTTACCCCATTGGTTAATTCAATTAATATTAAACTGATGTGACCTAAAAAAAAGGAGCAAAACCGTAACCGTGGCTAAAAAAGCAACGTCTGTTTTTATATTTTTTAAAAAATAAAAAAATTGAAATTAAAAATTAAAAAAAAAAAAGTCAAGAGATAGGGAAATGAAGGGAAGGAGGAAAGTAGGAGGAAAGGAAGAAGGCTAGTCGACGACTACTTGGATAGGTCAAGATGCAGATTAGGCCGATTTGGTACCTAACGAATAAAAATTCATAATCAAGTATTTAAAGTTTAATTCCGTCAAACATTTTATCGATTTGGTTAACATCCTTAATATTAAATTGACGTGGCATAAAAATAACCAGTATAATCCTAACGTGTAGATAAAAAGGCCATGTCTGCCTTTATATTTTTAATTTTATATTTTTGAAAAAAATAAAAAACTTAAAATAAAATTAAAAATTAAAAATTAAAAATTAAAACTGGGAATCAAGAGAGAGAAACAACGTTGAGATGCAGACTGTGTCGATTTGCTTCAGCCCAATCACATTGATGGTGATTCGGCTAAAAAATGCTAGACTGGTGCCGATCTGCCCGGTTCGAGGTAGATTAGTCTGATTTATTGCTGGCTGGCGAAATTTGCTCTGGCTATAACTCTTCCTTCCAACGCCGCTTACGTTACCCTTTCCTTCCTCTCTCCCCCTAACTCTTTTATTTTATTTTATTTTAATTTTTAATTTTTCAAAAATTTTAATTTCAAAATAAATTTTTTTTTTAAGAAGTTTTTGATTTTATTTTTAAAAAGAACAAAAATATATATTTATATATTTTAGTTTTCTAGTTTTAATTTTAAAATATTTTTCTTTTTTTGTTTTTGAATTTAAAAATTAATTTTTTGAAAAAATATAAAATAGTATGACTTATGACACGAAATTGAAGTTCTAGTACCAATTCGTTAAAATTGGTATAGTTTAAGTACCAAATTACATGTTAATCTTACATTTATTTAATGTAATGAGCAAGATGAATATGGGAGGAAATGCTAATTTATTAATTTAAAAAATTAAACTTTATTCATCTATTTTTAAATTTGATAAATATAATTATAATAAAATAAAATTCATAATCTTTAATTCTACGTAATAAAAATTGATAGTTTATTTTCAATTCTTTTTATATAAAATTTGAACGCTTATTTGGTTATCATCCTTTTTATTTATTGAGCTGCAATTGCTTCCACATCATGAGATTGAAATGTTTTAAGTTTTGGTTCTTTCTCTTGAATAACATGACATAAATAATAATGTTTTGTTTTAAGGGTTTAATATTAATATTATATTTTAATATTAATTATTATTATTCAAATAATAATTATTTTTAATATTGATAATTTTAATAATAAGTAATTTTAATATAATTAATAATAAATAATTTTTAATATTTTAATAACTTTATCAATATTATTTTAAAAAAAGAATTTCAAAATATAATCAAACAACAAAAAAATTTTTATTTTTCAAAAATATAATTTTTTTGCAAAAAATATTTTTTTAAAGCTGATTTTTGTGAAACTAACAATGTGGTTCATATCTATAACTTAATATTAAAAGTGAGTTACAATTACGCTGTAGATAATCTCTCAATTAGGGCTCAATTGATTTTCATTGGCAGCCGATTAAGAGACCGATTTTAAGTTTTTGTTTTTTATTTTTAAAAAAATAAAGTAAAAAAAATCCAAAAATTACTTGACTGCCATTTGGCAGCCAATTAAAATCTCACTGTCAATTTTTTATTTTTGCAAAAAAAAAAAAATCAAAAAAATCCATAAAAATAAAATATAATTAAAATATCAATTAAAAGTAAATTAAAAATCCACAAATAAATGTGAGATAAAAATATTTTATCATGTAAAAATTAAAATAAAATGTTCCGAACAAATATGCATTTAATCAAATATAATAAATACCAAATAAACTATTAATTTTGTGATAATAAAAAATAAAAAATATTTATTTTAATTAAT